TATTATTATTATTATTATTATTATTATTATTATTATTATTATTATTATTATCATTATTATCAGTAGTAGTAGTAGTAATATTATGCCCTAAAAAGCATTTTAAAAGAGTGTAACCTCCTTTTAATTTTTCTTGTGACAAATTACTTTCACAGATTTTATTTCTTTTTGCTTTTTTATGTTATGCTATTTATATTTCAGTAAATCAGAATTTTAAAAAAATCTAATAATTTTTAGGTTACAGCCAGTGCATTCAGAATGTTTAACCATCCAGAATCAAACATGAAGCTGTGCTTTTCAGCCAAGTGTCTCCAACACCTCTAACTCTGTGAAGTTCCACAGATTTCAATCATCAGCCAAACTTCAAATGTTTTGTCAGCCTCTAGCCTTTTCCTAAGTCAGAAAAACCTTATTTTACATCCAAATTTAAGGATTTGTGTGTATAATTATACCGTAATTCCGTATTTACTGAGAGAAAACATGTTTAATCAAAAACACTATTGGTTCAAACAGCAGAGGTTGGTTGGCAAAGGACAGAGAATTAAAAGCCTAAAAATACCAAACAACAGCACAGCCTTTACAAAATAGATTAATGTGTTGTTCATTTATTATCAGGACTACTTACAATTTCACTTTGCGCATCATTCAGAACAAAGTCCTCCAACAGATCAGTTTCGAAGTCTATAATTAGTTACCAGCATCCACAGACATTTTGGCACTCACAGCAAATAAACCACAAATTTAACACTGAGTGAGTTTGTGGAGAAATATCGTAAGACAGGACACATGGGATGTAAGAGAAAAAAATTAGCTGGAAAAAATGTGTATAATAAATTAAACTAAAATCAAACTGTGATAAAAATAGTAAAGTATACTTGGTCTCAAGGTACACAGAGACAAACAAAGGGTATTTTAGCTACACCAATTAGCCTAAAAGTCATGTTTCTGGACTGTGGGAGGAAGCCAGAGAGAACCAAAACATGCACAGGGAGAACATCTGAACATGACATTCTTGCTGCAAGGAAACAGTGCTGCAAACTGCTCACAGTTTATAAGGCAGGTTAGATACCATTGCACAACATTCAAATGAGAGAGCAGCTTCTATGACACCCAAAGATCAGTGATTCCCAGTAAGAATAATTGTAACTTCTGACAGCTTGTCTGTTTTCAGGGGCTCACAGCACTTAGTTAGATTTTAATAAGTGCCCTACGACACAGAATAATTCATTCATCAATGAATATTTAACTTTACCAGTGTAGTGCAAGTCCGTAGAAACCGAGAATTGAAATTGAAAATACAATAGGCATATAAGCCATTAAAATATTGTCTTGTGATGGAGAAAGCTAGTGTACAGATGCTTAACGTAATGGGATAATTAAGGACAAGGAACATCAGGGGCTTCAGAGGTGGATAAGAAAAACACCACTTTCATTTTCTTTTTTAATTCTCCAAGCTAGATAAAGTCGACAGTCAGTGCTCTTAGATGTGGCTTCCTTTAATCCTTTTGAAGATTTTGTATTTATACGCTTCTGCCCAAAAAAAAAAAAATTTAAGCCTGAAGTCCAATTGATCTGTCCAGTCTGTCTATGCACCTTAGCACAACATTCTACCCTGTGTAAAGTTACCTTTACACTCAATCATCGCCTTTCCACTATTTTAACAGTGAAGCGTATATAATTGCATCACCAGATTAACCACAGTGGCATAGATTTTTCCAAATGATGAAAATCACTGTCACCTGATCACCTGCACTTTTAACATATAATGTATATCAGAGATTTGAACCCCTGTTGTTAAAACATTTGAAGAGGAAATTAGACAATCGCTATAACCCACTTAGGCAGCATTAATCCAAAAACATCACTTAATCTCTCCTTTATGCTATGCCAGTGCTTCACTCAACTGTTGGTCATGAAACTGGGGAAGTGTTGGTGGATTTTAATCCTTCACCACTAATTTAAAAGGTTCCATTCCCACGTGCTTATGTGTTACTGTTATTATGAAAAGCAATAATGAAAAAAATGGTGACCTCTTAGTCATCACAGTAGGACACTCAGAGTTAGACAACGCTTACTATGACGTATAGCTGATTATTTCAAAATGTGAAGTCATCAAAAAGATAATGCAAACTTTAAAGAAATCATGGGCATTTATGCTCTGCTAAATCTCAATGCTTTTCCCACGTTTAGATCCACGTAAAAAGTTTATTTACATTTAAAAAAAAAACAAAGTAAAATAGGAAACATTTACAAAACGTGATGCAGACATCAGCTGCAAAAGAGGCAGGGCAGGGCTTTCACCAACAATATCAGAGTAGCTGAGGTGAGGTCAACTTTTACCTTTCAACATGGTGGAGAAACGATTCTGTATGGTGAATACTGCATCATTAAGTGTTTTCTCCTATTGTGCTTTCATCCTACACAATGCTGTGACATATATATATATATATATATATATATATATATATATATATATATATTTTTTTTTTATTTAACACCATTTAAATGTGTCATTGTTGAAATTACTGTTATTGTTTGATTTTATCAGATGCTCGTCTAAAGTCAACCCATGCATTTTATGCATTTCTTCTGTAGTAGAGGAATTAGGAATCCATTACTGTCTTGCCAATGTAGCAGATCAGGATAATCTTTGCATCCAACATGTTTCTCTTCTCTACCACAATAAAAACATTTGAACACAATGCACTGGTAATTTCCACTTTACAAGTGGTAAGGGTCATCTTTACCACATGAAGGCAGCATTATCACCTGTGGTGTGATGTCAGGTTGCAAAGCATGCTGGGAGATGCAGTTACAGTTTGTTTATGTATAGCTTGACCCAACACTAATTATAGAAAAATTAAAATTGTTCCTAAATTAGCTGTTTAATTCTCTTGTGTTCTCTGAATTTCAAAGTAAAGATGTATCTTGACGAAATTAATCTATTAATCAATGTTTGGATTCATAAAACACACGGCGCTAATAAGCCGAAGGCATAGGTCTAATTACTTATGAATCAGAAGTGGGAGCAAATCATCAAACCAACAATGTTGTCTCGTTACCTAAAAGTTACACACAGGATTATTTAAAGAATTACACAGGCTGCCATGATTTATACTCATAAATCCTTATCACGAGAAAACGGCTTTCGTTATCTTTAAATAATGACAATATTAACTTATTTTCTCGAAAAAAACGGCGTTAAAAAGCATGAAGGGATACGGCCAATCTCTGCTTCCATACTTTATTAATGATTACAACTCAATGCATTTTTACTCTAAAGTTTAAGTAAAAAATCTATCATTTTCAGAATAATGATATGATTTTAAAACATTTGTATTCAGTATGACTGGTTAAACTTTGTTAATTTCATGGTACAGAGAGTTGATGATCACAGCAACCAGATTCAGCAGATATAACATGCTTTTATTTTCCCTTTTTTTCTTTTCTTTTATGTTCTCCTATTCACAAGGGCAGACCATTACCCAGAAAGGCATTCTTTTCAACTCCAACTAACATTTCACATCTTTTGTCACACATCATGCTTTGCTGCACAAATTCTCCCACCTTTGTTCTTTCCCTCTCCACCTTCACAGCTATCTTTCCACACATGCAGTGTGAGCAGTGCTTTCCTTCCCCAGTTTTCTCACAAAATCTGCCTCACTCATCATTGTTGGTTAATCCCAATTTACTTGATCCTAAGCCTCTGTTGCGATCCACATCACTTTGACACCACAATTATAACTCAGCATTAACATGCACTGAATATATGAAACTCATGCTTTTCTCCTGGAGCGTTTTCTTCTGCTGCCTAATGCTTAGATTTCCATTTTTTGCTCCTTAGCTGCCCTTTTTATGTTACAGTTCCTTTCTCCGTCTCTTATTTTGGATCCCTTCTTTCCCACCCTAGTGTGCTTTCTCTGTGTGTGTGTATTTAAACTTTATAATCCTCATCACTCTCTGCCTCTATTTCTACACAGAAGTGTGTAAATCTTTCCCCTTTTCGCTGTTTCTCCCTGTCACTACACCCTTCGTTCCGTAAATCCCTTCAGCCCCCTCCACTGTCTTCCTCTTACTCACAGATCCTCACCTGATTTCTCCCTTATTTTATTCTTCTATTGTTTTCACCCTCGCTGCCAAAACTGATTTACTATTCCACCCTTTTCTGCCTCTGCTGTTGTTATTTAACTTTTTATGCCCCCTCCATCATTTCCCCTGTCTTGTCTGCTGTATATTTCTGCACCCAGCTGTCTTTCGAAGTACATTGCAGATATACCTTTATACATTCTCCCCTGCCACTGTCATTCTCTCCACGCTGGTCCTGTCTCTCCTCTATTCAATGAAAAAATGAATTCTGTCTTTAATCTTTTACAGGAAGCTGGATGCTTTTATTTATGATGCTGCAGTGTTAAATTATATGGCCAGGAAGGACGAAGGATGTAAGGTGAGCACTGAGGTAGAGGTACATACACATTTTTTTTATTTTTTGCTTGACATTAGGTTTTTTTCACAGTATCTGCGTGTTGTCCTTTCTCCAAGGTGATGACCATAGGCTCGGGGAAGGTTTTTGCCACCACAGGCTACGGTATCGCCCTGCACAAAAACTCACGTTGGAAACGTCCTCTTGATCTGGCCCTGCTGCAGCTAGTTGGAGATGGTAAGATCAATAGGAAAATGGGAGGGTCTTTGCAAAAATAATGAGTACTATGACCTGAAAAAGGTTATATGTAACCCAATAAGGATGAGAATACAGTGACAACATAGTGTGTGGGTAGGGGGTAGATAGAGGACACAGGTGGTAGCTGAATGAGAAGATGTCAAGGGGAGAATATGGGGCATGTGTCAACTGAAAGGTATTTTGATTGTGGGAGACAAGGGAAGTTCTGATGGGACTTTTAAAAATGTTTGTGAGTATTCTTATTGGGTAGAAGAGAAAATGATAAATAAAAGAGGGAGGAGAATATCATTGGTTTCGTTTTAAAGGTTTGGCTTTAATATGTTGTGCGTTCACTTTTTTCATCTTTTTGCTATGCAAAAAACTAAAAAAAGGATTTACTTGAGCGAGTCTCAGTTTTAAAAGTCACTTCTTGTGTCAAGATTTGGTGTCGGATTGAGGACCCAAAAGCAGAGGCAAGTAGGCAGAGGTAAATTTAGGTGGGTTTAATGAGGTTCACAGGTACAGAGGCAGGAATCAAAAAATCCAACAAAAAATAACAAACAAACCAGAACCAAGGAGACATCAGGGGAAACCAAACTCTAGGAGCCAGGGAGAGACGAGGTAAGCAGACAGACGTTAGATGAGGATCCAGCAAACAGGAACTGAAGAGGGAGGGCTTTTAAAGGGGACAGAGACAAAGAGAGGGCTAACGAGAGGATTGGAAACAGGTGAGGACAGAGCAGAAAACAGAGCTAGGGTTAGAGGACACAAGAGGGCAGCAGAGGACAACAAATGGAAAACCTGGAAGACAGGAACTAACAAGAAAACAACAAAATAATAATTAAACACTAAAACAAGGAGCAAAGTAAAACTGAATACTCTAAATAAACATAACAAAACCAAGACTGTGACATCTTGTTTGTTGACAGATTTATAAAAGTAAAGATTATTTAAGACGGACAAAGGACTGAGGAAAATAGGAATACACGAATATATTCTGATCTCATGCAGGACCGAGGTTGGACAATTGGATGGACGATGGATGGACTGTAGATAGTTAAAAGCTGCAACACTTTGCAAAGGTTTTCATATGTGTTTAGTGTATTTCGGTTTTATATGACCTATACACCTCAAATTAATTATTCCTCTTCCCTTTTTTTCCAGCCTTGATAGTCTATTAGTCGGATTAATGAGGGAACCTTCCTATGAGATCAATACACTTTGATTTAAATTGTGTCACTGATGCTCTAGCTTTGTGTCCAATGTAGTTTTCATTTTGGAAGGCCAGCCTCCATCGATTTTCCCATCAAAGCACATGGTTTCTGTGATTCCTACGTGGCCTGTAACTAACTCTACAAAAGATTTGCTATGGCTTTCCTACAGCAATGGTTTTGTTGTTCTATAAAGTCCAGATGTGTGACATGCATGACTAATTGCTGTGCTGTCAACAGCTTTTCCCATCTGAGCTGTGGATCTCCTCCAGAGTTACCATAAGCCTCTTGGCTTGCTTTTACAGTTGTCATACTCTTTTATTTTTAGGTAATAGATTCAACAGTGCTCTGTGAAATCTCTGCTGCCTTCCTTGGCCTTCACATTGTTATTTGCTCTCTAACAAACCTCTAAGGCTTTCACAGAAGATGGATTTAAATTAAGATTAAACCATACAGATTTAGATTCATCCTTAGTCCAACACACCTTAATCAAAGGGTGGAATTACCTCATCTGCATGCAGTCAGTTTCTCATTTTCCTTTTCATCATCTAATTACTTGATTCAAGTGTGTTGGATCAAGGACACATGCAAAAGTTGCAGGATGCTGGCCCTCAGGAACTGAACTGCCTCCCAACTGGTTTAAAATATATTGTGATAAGAATTTGTAGCTGTAATGTGAAAGTAGTGATGCCATTCACGGGGTGGGGTTACTAATGGATACTCTGATGGATTAGAACATCAGCGTATGAAGGGCTGTGAATGTTTCACCAAACCTTGGAGTGAGATTTTAAAATAGTTTGGACAGTCAGCCCTTATCAATGTTAGATTGAAAGCCTGTGTGGATAGGTGCAGCTGTAGGTTGTAGGTTTTCAGAGGATTTAACTGAAACTAAAATGTGGAAATTTTATAGCACAGTGAATTTTAATGAGTAGCAATAAGTAATCTATACTTATGTGGAAACATTTTCAAAGCATTTACATTATTTACTATATTCTGGTGATTTTCAGAGAACTGAAATAAAGAAGAATGGGCCCTACTTAAATACTTGCATCTTAAATATACTGTAAGCCAAGAATTTCAAAACTGTGTTTATTAAATATTCTATGCTGTTCAAGTAAAATAAACAACAGGGAGCAAATAACTTATCACTGGATTACTGACACTAATACAGGAACCACTGAAATTGAATCCCGTGCAAACAACACTGTGTATTAATATTTGGTAATAGGTTAATGATTAAAAATCTTAACTCATTATCTTATTAGATAGTGAAATAATTGTTTGTTTGTTTTTATTTACAAAACAGCTAAATAATATAATCCTACTAGGAAACTGTAGATTCTATATAAACTTTCCATTTAATTTTGGAAGTAGTGATGGAAATTAAGCTTTTAAACACATTCAATGGACCAAAATAAGGATAAATGAATAAGATAAGTAATGATAAAACGAGAACATCCCTCTATGAATCTTGGATAACTAAGTTGTTCTGCACATCCTCATTGTGTCTTATGTGGTAGGTCTTTTCTTGGGTGGCTGATCTTTTAAAGAATTAAATGCAATGGTTCTTTTTCTTTTATTTTGGACCTCCTATGGGTTTGTGAGGCAAACCTGAAAGCTTTAAGAATTTCGACATTTGTGTTGGTTTAATGAGTCCTAAATTCTAACGGGAGATTATTCAGCTAGAGTGAGTAATAATGATTTAACTTGTGACCAAAACATGGACTTAAACTGGGACTAAATCAGGTGGCTAAACTATAGCAAACAAGGAGTAAAGCTCAATAAAAAAAAGCACTAGATGTAGAGAAAACAAACCATTTTATGTCAATTTGATGTAATCCTACAATCAGCCTCCACATCTATAATTTAAGCTAGCTGTTGTATATTTTATTCAGATTTACTCAAGTTCTAGATCGCTTTAAATCTTCATTCATTTACAAAGAGAATTTTCTTAGTCCAAATAAGATAAGAGGAAATTCAAATGACATGCCTCGTATAACTGCTCAGAATTCCCATTATTTTTTTTATATCTGGCGCAGGTCTTTCAGCTTTGCTGCTGTCAGCCGATTCAATAGGTGGACTGGTGCAAAAATAAGGACTGTGTATGAACCTGGTATGTCCTCATGTGTTAGCACTAAGGTTGTGTTGAAAACGCGGACATGATTTTTATCAGCATGGTATTTTTATGTATAAATAAGTGGGATGGAGTTAAGTTTTAATGTCCGTCATTTTTTAGCTGGAAAAATTGGTGAGATGGAGTGTATGCATGTGAAGACACTGAGGTGAGTGAGTCTTGCACCAAATGGATGAGAGTTGACAGCCCTTGAGTATGTTGTTTTTTTAATTGTATCTAAGAGGGGACCATTTGTGTTTGACAGAGGGAATCTGTTTTTAGCAATGGTTGTCAGTACACTAATGCTTGATTATCATATCACACAGTCTGCCACACACATTTATTGTCTCCATTGGATGGATCTTGTTTGGCTTCTCCTCATGCTTTAAATCAGCTTTGCTTATGGCGTGGCAGACAAAGCCCTTTAGCTGTTTCTGGCATGCTGATACTTTAGCTGCTTACCCACTGATAATGCCAATTTGGTGCCAAGATCTATTAAATAAGACTGGCATCTGGAGCTAAATTGCTCGACCCCGAAATGTGTGCTTGTGTTTTTGTGTGCGGGAAGGAAAATTAGAGGGCCCAATCGCCCTGATATACTGTATTTCTGTACCTGTTCTCATTTCTTTCGTTCTGTGTGCCATATCCGTCTGTGAATATAGCTCTAGATTTTAGAGTGGCGTACTAAAGAAAAGAAAGATTGCTTTTCTAGAGATGGAAAGTATAAAGAAATGGGCTTACATTCATCATACCCTCGAAGCTGCATCCTTTTAAAGACATCTGAAGATCTCGCGCGTCGCACCTTTCACTGGGCCAAGCTGTGTCACTGAGTTACATCATTTTTCTTCCCTGCCTTGTGGAATTGTATCATTTTCCTACTGAATTAGATGATATTAGCAGACTTTTAATACCCCTGTGAATCTATCTCTCTCCTTGTTGTTGCCTTTGGTGATTAACACCTCAGCTTTAAATGATGGTGATTGATCTTACTACATCTTTTCTTCTTGTCCTGCTAAAGAGCTGTAGAGTAGAGTTGTAAGATTTTACCTTCCCTATCTTATCAGATCCAAATTTTTTATTTTATTTTTTTTTTTTGTTGTACCATATCTTGACTTTGATTCCATGATTATATTATTCAGAGTGTATATTTTAAAATGTGAGAAGCTAGAGTTTCATCTCTTGGCCAGCAGATTTTTTATTTGTATTTTTTATATATCTTGCGATGAATAAAGGGAGGTTTGTTACCGTGAGATAAAAGTACGGCATTGTACCAGTCATGGTTTACTGCTTAGCAACTGTGAGGCTCAGTGTCTTTGGATGTGTGTGACATCCAGCCTCATCTGGCATACCGCAAAATGCAAACAAGCTTGCTGGTGCTTGCACATTTACATATGCAACTGTGCCACAAACACTGTGATACAGTGTCCTTTATTGAACATCGGTAAACGGCTCGCTTTGTATTAGTGTTGCCAGCTCTACCTGAGCTGGTCCGCCAGAAACAAAATAGGTGGAAAAAGAATGTGACACACCTGCCAGATTTGGCAGGCTTTAGTTGGCTGTGACTGAGACGTAGAAACAACTGCCATCTAAAAGGTTGAGGTGCAGGATAAATTGCAGTGCAGTGCAGATCACACTACTTATTGCAGCAAGCATGGGCCACTTACTCAACCCATGGC